CACTGCCGTCTCCAGCCGCCTCACGGTCGCTCCTGCCGTCGCGGCCGCCCCTCGCCGCCGTCGCGGCTGTCCCTGGCCGCCATCGCGGCTGTCCCTGGCCGCCATCGCGGCTGCCCCTGGCTGTCGTCGCGGCTGTCCCTGGCCGCCGTTGCGGCTGTCCCTGGCCACCGTCGCAGCCGTGTCTACTTGCCGCCCGCCGGCCGGCCCCTGCATTCGCGTCGTCGCCGGCCCGCCGCTGCCTCGGGTTCGGCCCGTTCTACCATATCAGCACCGCCCTCCGAACCCCCCCGGTACCAACCTGCATCGCTCAGCATCGCACTGCACCACTTTGTACCGCACTGCACCGCACTGCATCGCACTGTACCGCACTGCACCGCACTACACAGCACTGCACCGCACTGCATAGCACTGCACTGCACTGTCCTACTCTACACTGCCCTCTATTGTCACTCATGGCGGCGGTGCTTTGCTTTGACGCTGAGGGCCAGCCGATTGAGTTTGATGCGTGGCTTGCTGACCTCCGTCGCCATCTCACTGGTCAGCGGCAGGATGACCACTCACCGCTTCCTGTCCCTATTGTAGTCTCTCTTGCTGACCCCTCCTCCGGCCCTCTAGTCGCCCGCAGTTCCACCATCCTCATCTGTCCGGCGGTTCTTTCGGGCTCTCTCTCAGGCCTGCGCATCCCCTCGTTTTCCAGGAACCTAGTTGGTGTCGGCTGCCTCCAGGACCTTGGCGTCACCACTACGTTCCCTGGTCACGAGCAGTACGCTGTCTGTACCGAGGCCACCTCTGGTGCCCCCCTTACCACGTTCCCCCGGGACTCGGTGTCCGGACTGTTCAGACTGGACACTGTGATCCCCCCTGCTGGGACCCCCCCTTAGGTGGCTGCGTCTACCCAGGTTGCTGCTGCCTGCTCCTGTCGGTCACTCACCCACCTGACTCTCCTGTGGCACCACCGTCTAAGTCACCCTGCGCTCCCGCGTGTGCATCACATGTCACAGCACGGTCTCGTCCTAGGCCTCCCTTGGTCGTTCTCTGAGTTCCCCTCCTCCCCTGCCCCACCTTGTAGGCCTTGTGTCGAGGGCCGGCTTTGCCGTGCTCCTCACTCCTCCTCGTTTCCCCCTACCGCCGCACCGCTACAGACCTTGCACATGGACGTCTGGTGGCCCCGCCCCCGTCCATGGGCCGCGTTGAGAGCGTTACTTCCTAGTGCTTGTCGACGACTACACGCGCTACACCACTGTGTCCCCCCTGGAGTGGAAGGCCGACGTGCCTGACGTTCTTATCCCGTGGCTTGTCGCTGCGCGTGTCCGTCGCGGTCTCCTTGTCTTGCGCCTCCACTCCGACCGTGGTGGCGAGTTTGCCTCTGGTGTCCTTGGTCGTTTCTGTCATGCAGAGGGCATCACCCAGACGTTCACCTTGCCGGACTCCCCGCAGCAGAATGAGGTCGCTGAGTGACGCATCGGTTTGGTCATGGAGGTGGCTCGCACCTCCATGATCCATGCCGGTGCACCCCATTTTCTGTGGCCGTTCGCCGTTCGCTACGCCGCTCACCAGCTTAACCTGTGGCCGCACCCCCAGCAGCCTCAGGTTTCGCCGACCCTCCTTTGGTCTGGGTCACCTGGTGACGCGTCTGCGTTCCACGTCTGGGGCTGTCTTGCTCATGTTTGTGCCTCTGGCACGGACAAGCTCACTGCCCGCACCCTTCCCTGTGTCTTCCTCGGCTTTCCCCTTGACGCGTCTAACAGGCACTTCTACCACCCGCCGTCTCACAGGTTCTTTCACTCCCGTGACGTCACCTTTGACGAGTCTGTCTCCTTCTTCCGCCGCTTCCCCCACCGAGGTCCCCCGGTTACCCCCCCCCTGTTCCTGGTCACCCCTTCCCCGGTCGTCGCCGCCCCTCCTCCTCCCCCTCCCCGTCCTGCCCCCTCTGGTGTGTCCCACGTCACCCCACTTACGTCGGTTGTACCGGTTGAGGAGTCTACTGACTCTGGTAGTCCTGCGGCGCAGTCCTCGCCGCCTGCCCCTTCTCAGGTGTCCCCTCCTCCCCCGCCTCCACAGCCGCAGTCGCCACCGCTGTCGCAGCCGTCGTCACCGCCGCCGCCGTCGCCGCAGCCGTCGTTGCGACCGCCGCCGCCGCACCCGTCGCCGCAGCAGTTGGTTGCCTCTGGGGGTGCTGGAGTTGGGGTGGGTACTCGTCCTGGGACTCCTGTCGTGGCTTGTCCCGGTGGGCCTGGGGGTGGTACCGGTGCTCAAGGGGTTCTGAGCTCTGGGGGTGTTTCTTCTGGGGGTACTGGTGTGGAGTACTCTGGAGGTAGCCGCCCGGCAGCTTGCGGTCCCGGTGTCGGTGTCACACCGCCGTCGCAGCATTCCCCGCCGGTGTCCGCTCTTCGCCTGCTCGGCCTTCCCTCCCCTGACCCCGTGCCCGTGCCTCCTCCTCCTCCTGTCTCCGGCCCTGTGTTCCCTCCTCCGGATGCGTCTCCGGCCTGTTTCCCCCCTCGTTCCCCTCCTGTGTCCCCTCCTCCGTCTCCTGACCCGACTCCCCCGTCTCACGTGTGGTCTCGCCGTCCCTCCTGTGCTCGACCTGTCTCCCCTGTCTCGCGCTCTCACCCTATGTTTCTTCGTTCCCACGCGTCTCGTCCTCCCCTTCTCCCGTCGCCCCCTCCGTCCTCCCTTGTCGTTGCTCCCCCCCCTTTGTCTGACTACCTGCGTGCCGCTCGTCCTCTTGTTCCTCAAGTCCTTGCCTCTCATGTTACCAACCCGTCTGTTCCGGTTTCGAGCCTTGACGCCCTTGTCGCTGCGGTCGCTGACTTCGCCTCTACCCGCCGCCTTGACTACGCCACCGCTCTGGTCTCTGACCCTGCCTTTCCTCCGTCTGTCGGGGGTGCTCCTGCCCTTGGCAGTGACGTCCTGGAGGACCGCCAGTACGAGCTTGCTTTCCTGTCCGAGGCTGCTCCCCATCTCTGTTCCATGCTTCTAGTCCCTGAGGGTGACCCCGACGCTTTCGACATCCCGACCCCTCGCATTTACGCTGAGGCGGTCTCGGGACCTTGGGCCTCTCAGTGGATAGCTGCCATGGAGCAGGAGATGGCATCTTGGAGATCCACCGGCACCTACGTAGTTGATGGCCGCTGGCTCTTCAAGGTGAAGCGCCCTCTTGGAGAGCCTCCTGTGTTCAAGGCGCGCTACGTGGGTAGAGGTTTCAGTCAGCGTGAGGGGGTGGACTTCTTCCAGACCTTCGCTCCGACCCCGAAGATGACGACTCTTCGGGTGCTACTACACGTAGCAGCGCAGAGTGACTACAAGCTCCACTCCCTCGACTTCTCCACTGCGTTTCTTCAGGGCAGTCTACACGAGCAGGTCTACATGCGTCGCCCTCAGGGCTTCACTGGTACCTTCCCTCCTGGGACCCAGTGGCTCCTCCAGCGCCCCGTCTACGGCCTGCGGTAGGCTCCCCGTGAGTGGCACGACACGCTGCGTGCTACGCTTGCTGACGTATAGTTCTTTCCGTCCTCTACAGACCCCTCGCTCTTCGTTCGTGCTGGCCAGACTCCGTTCTACATCCTTGTTTACGTAGACGACCTGGTCTTCGCCACGGCAGACAGGGACGCACTGGCCTCCGTGAAGGCAGAGCTGCTGAAGAGACACACGTGCACTGACCTTGGAGAACTGCGCCGTTACCTTGGCTTGCAGATCTCCAGGGACAGAGCAGCCCACACCATCACTTTGACTCTGTCACACATGGTGCGCCAGGTCCTTCAGAGGTTCGGCCTTCAGTTCTCCTCCGCACAGCCTATTCCTCTGCCTCTAGTCCACAGGCTCTCCGCTCCAGTTCCTGAGGAGTCAGCAGAGCCCAGTGGTCCTTACGCAGAGCTGGTGGGTTGCCTCATGTACCTGATGACTTGCACGCGCCCAGATCTCGCATACCCTCTCAGCATCCTGGCTCGCTTTGTGGCTACAGGCAGACGCCGACCTCAGCACTGGTCTGCCGCTAAGAGGGTTTTGCATTATCTTGCAAGTACATCAGGCATGGGGTTAGTGCTAGGAGGACGTAGGTGTGTGGTCCTTACTGGACACACAGACACTTCGCGGGCAGACGACGCCGAGACCCTCAGGTCCTCACAGGGTTACTGCTTCAGCCTTGGTTCAGGTGCCATCTCATGGAGAGCTACCCGCTCCTCGTATGTTGCCCAGTCCAGCTGTGAGGCCGAGATCTACGCCGGTGCCATGGCGGCACAGGAGCTCCGCTGGCTGACCTTCTTGCTCACTGACTTAGGTGAGCGGCCTAGCTCTGCCCCGGTCCTGTACGCTGACAACAGGGCCATGATCCTCCAGTGTCAGGAGCCTCGACTCGAGGGCAGAGCGAAGCACATTCAGCTGCGGTACTTCCTCTTGCGTGAGCTGCAGCAGCGTCGCCAGGCGCGCGTAGTACACTTGGCCTCCGGTGCCAATACAGCTGATATCTTTACGAAGGCGCTTGCGCCTAACGATCATCAGCGGCACTGTGTACAGCTGGGTCTCGTTCCTGTAGCCTCTCACTTGCTAGGGCCTTGACTTTGTACTGTCCTTTATATCTATATTTTACCCAGACTGGCCTTGTGGCCTCTCCCAGTGGCTAGACTAGTAGTGCCGCCCTGGGCTTGCTCTTGCCTTGTCTGTACTCCTTTTGACCGGTCTTTAGACCCTTGTCTCAGAGGCTGGACTAGTAGTGCTGCCCTGAGCTGCTTCTTCCCTTGTTAGGCACTGCCCCTATATAGTCTAGGGGGTGTGTCAAATTTAACTTAGGTTGTTACTGTAGACTATACTGGATTGTGCCTTAGAGGGTACAACATCCTAGTCTATATATCCTTGTACACACATATTCTAGTTCAATCATTTTCTTTCTGATAAAAATTACATTACACTGTAGGGGGCAGTCACAGATCATTCATTACACTTGACACATGAAACAGTGATCTTCCTTCCTGCAAAAGAGAGAGGTCTGCGCCCACAACCCCCCAGGCAGTGTAGCCCTTCCCCGAGGATCGCAAGGGCAACCTCAGATCATGTCAATCTCAGATGATGTCAGTACATGCCGCTGATTGGTGGTGAACATGAAACCCGGCTCTCACCTTGCTGTATGGAATAAGGATGCGTGCATCCATGAAACCATTGCGTTTCTCGTGCCCCCTCTGAACTGAATCCTAGGAGAAATAATTTCTACTAGAGCTTGTATGCTGCACAATTGCCTCTGGTGCATATCCGACCCACAAGTAGATACCACCACGACAAGACGACTGACTGACAGTACTTCGTCTGCAAAAACAATTAGCCAACAGCACGTGTCAGACAAGGGTCGACCTCAGGGTCGACTCGCCACCTAGGCAAGTGCCAGTGCTTCTGGTTGGCATGGCCATTCACAACCAATCAGCACATGTCAGAACAGCGGGGGAGGGAGGGTAGGCCCACAATCCTGAAGTGCTGGTGGTTTTGGTCGGCCTTGTTCACAAACAGCACGTCCTCTCCGCGTCTCTATGAGGCGCGCCGCCGCGCTCTTGCTGGCTTGCTGGCTCCAGTCCAAAGGCGCCTGAGGCACCAAACAAAAGCCCATCCTGAATCAAAATGGTGGGGGAAGTAGGCCCACGCTCCCGAAGTGCCTGTGCTTCTGGTCGGCCTTGTTGACAAGCGGCATGCCCGCGTCCCTCAGGCGCGTGATGAGGTGCGTCTCTATGAAGCGCGCCGCGCTCTTGCTGGGCGCCGGGATGATCGCAACCGGTGACTCGCGCAGCTTTGAGTTCCGGTGCTGCCGTATGCGCTCCACTATCTGGTCCGTCTGGCAGCACAAGGGGGGGTGGGGGTGGGGGTGGGGGTGGGGGGGGGGATCTATTCTATCAGCACCTCAAGCATGCGCTCTTGCTGGGCGCCGGGATGATCGGCACCAGTGAATGGCGCAGCTTTGGCGACCAGTGCTGCCGTATGCGCTCCAGTATCTGGTCCGTCTGGCAGCACAAGGGGGGGGAAGGGGGGGATGGGGGGACTTTTGAGTCAACTCAGAAGCCACCAGTGCGTCGCCTCGCCCCCGGCGCTCTTTGTTGGGCACTGGGATGATTGCAACCACTGGCGATTCGCGCAGCTTTGAGGACCGGTGCGGCCGCATGCGCTCCACTATCTGGTCTGTCTGGCGTGCAGATGTGTGGGGGGGGGGGGGTGGGTGGAGAAGGCGGGGGGGAATGGGGGAGACTTTTGAGTCACCTCAAAAGTCACTGCACAACTTCTTGGACAGACGGCGACGGGGGTAGATTTGAGGCGCCTCAAAACTGGACTCTTGTCACGCGGTTTTTGAGGCACATCAAAACTGACGTCCCTGCGCAGCTGCCTGGAAAGCGACGGGTGCTGCCGCATGTGCTCCACTATCTGGTCCGTCTGGCATGCAGATGTGGGGGAAGGGGAAGGGACGATGTAGGGTGTCGAGGCGCCTCAGTATCTGTGTGCCCGGGGAATGGTAGGGAAGAAATGTGGGAATGGGGGAATGGGGGAATGGTAGACATGAAGGAACCATCGTCGCACGCCTCACAACACAACCACTGCCAAGAAAACAGACCACAACAGGAAAACGACATGACAACAATCACAACCACGTCCGACCAGACCGATTACAGCATGACACATAGAATAGAACTTCCCATCACTGATGACTCCCAGCCATCACGTGACTCCTCCCAGCACACCCACCTCGCCCACATAGAACTTCCCGTCCGGGCGACACAGCAGGTACACAAACGACCGGTGGTTAGCCACCGATGCCGACGGCATCTGGCCCGCCATTACCACCACGGCCCGCACCCCCACACCTCCATCTCCCACACCCCTCACAGCAGCCTCCCCTGCTCCCAGCGCTCCCATTGACCCAAGTGGGCTGTGCACTCTCTGTGTGCTCAGTCCGGTGTCTTGCCCAGAGTGTTGCTGGCTTGCCATGTCTTGCCCGTCGCCGCACACAGCCACTGCGGTGTTATTCAGCACGCTTCCACTTGCTCCCCCCTCTTGCTCCACCCCTCTTCCCTGCAGTCTCCCCATCAGATCAGCAGCTGTGACCTCAAACAGCCGTACTGCATCGTGCAAAGCCATCGAAGTGATCAAAGCACCACCACCACCACCACTATTGCCACTGTTCTTTCTCAGCCTTTTCCTTGTTATGATCCGACCATCCACTTCCTCCTCTTCCACTTCTCCCTCCTCTCCCTCTGACCCTCCCTCTGCTTCTTCCTCCTCTTCCAGACCACCCCGACCTTCTGACACGTCTCCACCAACCGCACTGACCTCCTTCCCACCACCACCAAGATCACTACTACTCCTGTCACCCCCACTGTTGAGTGCAGAGACTGGGGTGGCCACTGCAGCCCCGTTCCCGTTGCCCGTGCCACCCACGCTAGTATCTCCAAGCCCCAAATCCCTCCCTGATTTCTCCCCCTCGTCCAGCTGCTGCTGCTGCACCAGCAGGTCGTGTGCGTGTCTGAGCTGCGCCTCCTGCTGCTGCAGGTGCTGCAGCAGGACAGCCGCCCGGTCCACCACTGCTGCAGGCACGCCCTCCCCCACTGCCACTTCGAACGCCAGGCTGTCGCTGCAGGGGGAGAGCAGCAGGGGGAGGGGGAGAGAGGCAAGAAGAGAGGGGGGAGGGGTGAGAGAGGGGCAGATGGTACAGATCGCAAGGATGGGATGGTGTGGCATACCCTCCTCCACTGCCACCTCGAACGTCAAACTGTTGGTGAAGGGGGGGAGAGAGAGCAAAGCGAGCAAGGAGAAGAGTAGACGGGTGACAGACGGGCATATCGCGCAAGGATGGTTCAGGTGGCAGGATAGATAGGATGGTTTAGATGGCACTGGCATGGTGTGGCTCACCCGCCCTCTCTCACTGCCACCTCGAACGCCAAGCTGTCGCTCTGCAGGGGAGAGAGGGGCAGGGATGGAGAGGGGCCTTTTGAGAATTCGAGACAACCACATTGCGGTGGTTAGGCAGGTTAATTGCTTGGGATGCGGCACTCAGGCACTCCAAGGGCTGGTAAGGTAAACGACTGACAGACACTCACCGGCACACGCCTGAGTGACCTTCCAGGTGGGCACTGCTAAGCCAAGTCCCCACCCACCCACTCTATTTTTGAGGCGCCTAAAAAATAGTCTCCTCACTCATGGTTTTTATAAAGAGAGGTTGTTTGTTGCTTGGAAAATCGGGTGTACGGGCGAGCTTCCGAAGCTGCCCATTGGCGAAGGATCGAGCCCAACTACCATTCAAGTCACCCTCGATGTTTGAAGACGCGGCCCCTTGGTTTTACCAGGATGGCCTGGATTGGTCCCCGAAATTTTGGGCCGACCAGGGTGGAGGCAACATTGAGTTTATTTTGGTTGGATGCTTAGCTTCTATTTAGGGGCTTTGCAGTGCTCAAAATCTCTCATTGGCACTGATGAAGGCTCGCTAGGGTTTTCCCCTACGGCCAAAACATGTTTGTCACCTGTTTCTTTGGTTGTTAACGAGAAGAGTTTCGACTTTCCTAGACCCTCAGTTACACAGCTGATGTGTAAAAAAAAAAAAACAAGAGGCGACATAATCGTCTTAGGGTTGCGGCGCACTATAATACAAAAAGCAGTGATAAAATGTTCAATTCAAACTTTTTTTTTATAAAGATATCTCTTTATGGCCATTTGTTTTCTTACCATGTGTGTCACAATCAGATGACAGATTATTCGCTAATGAAACACAAACTGTATATATGCGTTATATAATAATTGAATCATAGATTTCTGTTTAAATCATTGTACAGTTTTGACTTTGTTGCCCTTTTCCATGTCAGTTTCGTTTTTTGTATTTCCATTGGTACCACTAGGCGCATTTATTATCGATATGGTTTCTCTGTCCAGTGGCGAAAGTTGCTAGCTGGCAGGTTTTGTTTTTTTGCGCCCATTGGCGAGGCTTGCCACGCGCGCCATTCTCGAAATGAAAGCACAGTGGCGACGAGTTTCGCCTTGCCAGCCAGCTGCGCCACTGCTCGGATTTTTTTTTCTTTTATTTTTTTTCTCGTCAATGCGCACTCATCATGTCCAGCTACGCGATATTTGCTGTTAGGACGTATTCCAGTTTCTCGTTTATTGCAAACTCTGTACTACTCGGTCAGTTTCGGATCTTTTTTCAAAACAGTGATGCGCGAACAGAGAGAGAATGACCATGTTGTGCCTTAGTATAGACTTTTCTCACAAGTGATAACTGTTCGACTTGAACACGGCCTGCAGATTGGGCAACACGAATCTCAATGCTGCTGGGCAGTTTTTGATAAAAACGAGAAAGAACCATGACACTTCTTTCACGGCTGCGGAAACATAGTTATTCCACCCGCATTCTCCAGCCTTTCTTCCTCCAATTCTAGTCAGCCTCCCCTGGTATACTTCTTCCTCTATTCCTGAATCTCACATTTTTCTCTTCACCCACTAGAGCATATTTACGCTAGTTTGCTGGCCACGACTATTCCAGCAAAGGCCATTCCATCAACCGTTAATATGTTACGAACAGCAAATCCGTTTCTCTCTCGTTTCGTCAACCTCCTAATTCGCAAGTTCGCAAGTTTTTTTTTTTTTTTTTTTTTTTGTTTTTTTTTTGGGGTTGCGGAGCAACCTAATGCGATCGATTTTGCAGATTTTTTTTTTCACGCGGATTTTGGGAATTAGAAACATTACCTACAAAACCGAACCATATTTTTGGACTTCCTCCTGATGTAATTAGTAAATTACATTTCCTAAGGGAGCTTATCTTCCCTCCCTTCTTTCCCTAGTTCTCTTCCTTCTTTTGCTCCTTCCTCCTTTCCACTAAGTATCATCCTCTGCCTTTTCCAATACCACTTACCTCTCTTGGTGTACCAGCTTATAAAGGAAGCGTGAGTAATCGCCACTCGGCTTGAACAAAAGGTAGGCATTCTAACCCTTCCCGCCTTGCCCTTCCCCTCTCCTCCTTTCCATACATTGCCTTCTTTTCGATTCCATGCCTACTTTTGCTTCCATCTCACGCCTTCATTCCCTTCCCTTCCGTCGTTTTCAATCCTTCTTTTCTCTCATCATTTCATTCCCTTCTAGCTTTGCGCCTAATCCGTCTTACGGGAACCCCGTATGTATGTCGCACTTCCACTTTCTCCCTACTCTCTATTTGTCCCGTTCGTGCTCGTTCTTTCTATTTCCAAGTCTTTTATCCACGTTCTTTAATTCTGTTATTTCGTTGGCTCTTCTAATATGAATGTAGGGTCCCAACTTGAACCACCCTTTTAGATGTTGAAATTGCAATGTGCTTGTTCTGCCTTTTTTTTATTGCAGAATATTTTGCTTTATCCTTTTGAACTAATCTGACTTCTGTTCGGTGCGTGCAGTCATGTTATTGTCACATACCGTTCCATCCCATCATCACCCATTCTCATTGATTGGCAATGCATGCCTGCGTTTTTCAAAACGAGAAACCTTGCCTATCATTCGTAAACGGTTCATAGGCGCGCTCCTTGAGTGTAGTCTCTTGAACTGGATTTGATGGGTAGGGTTCTCTTTTTGGACTTCACAGACTGTGTTGTTTTATAACATTGTTGATTACTCAACACTAGGCTTGCTGATTTCCCCCCCATGCTAGTGCTGGGGAAGAGGTAGCCTAGAGTTTGGGTTTTCTACAGTGTTGCATAATAATCATAATTTTTATTGTAGATTCATGTCATGGACCATGACACGTAAAAATTTCGAGCACGATTCGATTGGATCGGTTGCTAATGGCGCGATGCAATCAAACACGAAATTTGCCAAAATCCGACAGTAGATTTTCTGTTGGAAGTATCAACAATCAGCAAGCTATCTTTCAAAGATTGCATATATATAACAACAGAAATGTGATTTACTAATTACATCAGGAGGAAGTCCAAAAATATGGTTCGGTTTTGTAGGTAATGTTTCTAAATCCCAAAATCCGCGTGAATTTTTTTTTTTTCTGCAAAATCGATCGCAATAGGTTGCTCCGCAACCCAAAAAAAAACAAAAAAACAAAAAAAAACAAAAAAAACATTAAAAAAAAAACAAAATCTCGCCTCTTGCTTCCCGCACCCCCATGGCCAGCCTGACCACCCCCTCAAGCCGCAGCGGCAGGTCGAGCACGGTGGAAGTGCGTGGAGAGCACCTATCACTCAAAGGCCTTGTAAGGTAAAAGACAGGCAGACACTCACCGGCACTCGCCCTCTCTGACCTTCCTGGTGGGCTCCATCCCCCCGTCCTTCCCCTCCCTCCGCCGCACCCCCATGGCCAGCCGCACCACCCCCTAAAGCTGCAGCGGCAGGTCGAGCATGCGGTGGAAGTGCGTGGAGAGCACGCCCACGCACCCCGCCACTCACCGGTCACCGCGACTGGTCCAGGAACTCGAGGGCATAAGCAGGTTGGTTGGTACGACAAGTTTTCACTCCAAGCCCCAGTGAGGCATGATGAATGAAAGGCACTCACCGGCACTCGCCCTCTGTGACCTTCCAGGTGGGCTCCATCCCCCCATCCTCCCCCTCGTGCCTCCTCACCCCCATGGCCAGCCGCACCACCCTGTCAAGCTGCAGCGGCAGGTCGAGCACGCGGTGGAAGTGGGTGGAGAGCACACCCACGCACCGCGACTGGTCCAGGAACTCGAGAGCGGACGCCACGAGGCACGCGCCCTTGTCGGGCTCCGTGCCCTTGCACAGCTCGTCCAGGAGGACGAGGGAGCGTGGGGTGGCGTCCTGGGTTATTGAGCGCAGCTCCATCATCTCCATCTGGAGGGGAGGAAGTGGGGGAAGGAGGGCGAGATAGGGCGATGGGGAGGGGAGGAGGGGAGGCTTTTGAGGGGACCCAAGGGGAGGCTTTCGAGCACGCGGTGGAAGTGCGTGGAGAGCACAGCCGAGCACCGAGAGCACAGTCTAGGGACTCCAGAGCTGCGCCCTTATGCCACGAGGCACGTGGCCTAGTCGGGCTCCGTGCCCTTGCAGAGCTCGTCCAGCAGCACGAGGGAGCACAGGGAGGCGTCCTGGATTATGCTGTGTAACTCCATCATCTCCATCTGCGGCGGGGGTTCGGGGGCCGGGAGGGGGGGAGGGGATGGGAAAGTGAGGCAGAGACGGAGGAGAGCAGCCAAGTTCTGCAGCCACTGCCTGAAGCGGCAGGAGGAGGAAGATGGAGCGCGGAGAGGAGGAAGATGGAGCACGGGGAGGCGGCCTGGGTTGAAAAGGATCTACAGGACGCAAAGCCTCCTCCCCTCTCTACCCCGTCTCCATTTCCTCCCCACCCCATAGCATCCCCTAACATCCCCTCACCTGGAACGGACTCTTGGCATCAGACAGGCTATCCGTGGCCACCATCCTAAGCACAATGGAGTCGAGCTGCGGCACGTGCACAACCCGCACGCACGGCACCAAGAACCCGCGCGACGCCTTCACTCCCGCCCCCCCACCCCCCCCCCCTTCCCCCTTCGCCCTGCTCACCACCATCTCCCTGCCCACCTGGAACGAGGCGACTTTTGAGTCGACTAAAAAATTCCCACCTGGAATGGAATGAGGCGACTTTTGAGTCGACTAAAAAATTCCCACCTGGAACGAGGCGACTTTTGGCAGCTGGAACGACTTCGCAAATGCCCACCATCTGTTGAGTCGACTCAAAAGAGCCCATCCCTGCCCACCTGGAACGAGCTCTTGGCATCGGAGGGGCTATCAGCGGGCATCATCCTCAGCACAATGGAGTCAAACCGCGGCACGTGCGCGGCCCTCAAGCACGGCACCATGAGCCCGCTCGACGCCAGCAGCGCCGCCGCGCACACGGAGCGCAGCAGCGACGACTTGCCGCCGCCGTTGGGCCCGGTGAGGAGCGCGAGCGAGGAGAGGGAGAGCGTGTTGGGCACGGCCGGGGAGGCGACGGTGTGGTCCAGCCAGTAGGGGATGAGGTCCTCTAGGAGGAGAGTGTGTGGGGAGATGGTGGAGGGAGGGGTGGAGGTGGTGGGAGGGGAGGTGGCGGAGGGAGGGGAGGCGGTGGAGGGAGGGGGGGTAGTGGAGGTAGGGAAGTTGTCTGGTGGCAATGATGGTGCGAGTGTGGGGAAGATCCAGCCGCGATGGGAGCAACACCTGGAAGGGAAGGGACGAACGGATGGTGAAGCGACGGATGGTGAAGCGACGGATGGTGGGATGGAGACAGATGGAAGGAGGGGGCGGAAAGAAAGAAGGCAGCAGAGGCACGGACGAAGGGGTAAGGGAGGGGACAAAGCAGAGAGAATACAGAAGAGGACGTTTGGGACGGGGCGGACAACAGACGGGAGGAGGGAGGAGGGGGAGAGGAAGAGACAAGAGAAAAAGAGAGCTCTGACGTTAGCCGGTGGTGCCATGCCATGCCAGTGTCCCATGAACGGCATTACATGCCAAGTTCCAACCACCGGTCCGTTGCAGCCTAATGGGCACAAGAATCCCCTTGCCGCCGTTGCAGCCAAATGGGCACAAGAATCCCCTTTTTGAGAATTCTAAAAAAAACTCACTCAGCCTTGCCGCCGTTCCACTTGAATCAGCACTTCACATCACACTTTGTGTGTGATGGGTAGGGAGGGAGGGCAGCGGCAATGAGTTTTGCTAAACAGGGGTATCTTTACCTACTGTTACTCTTTTTGCTAAAGTTTTCCTTTTCGCTGCAGCCCACCCTAACGCTTAATGGCTACTTTGTGTGTGATGGGTAGGGAGGGCAGCGGCAATGAGTCGATTTTTTTAGTCGACTCAAAAATCGACTCATTACACTGTGATGGGTAGGGGCAGTGGCAGAGACAGAGGCTAAGGCAAAAATGACACCTCGAGTGAAAAGGGTTGATTCGGAAGGTCTATGAGTCAGAGGGTTGAGTTGAGGCAGAAAGGAACTGGCTGCTACTCAACCACTACCAATAGTACCTGACATGCTCGTCAAGCGTGCGGGCAACGATGCCAAAGTTAGCCACAGCCACGATGCTCCTCAGGTACAGCTGCAGGTCGCGGGACAGCTGCTGCAGCGCTGCTACCACCGCTGCATGCGCTGCAACCACTGCCTCCTTGTACCTGCGGAGGGAAGTGAAGGGAGGAGAGTGGGGAGGGTGGGGTTCTTGAGCCACCATGCTTCTTAGGTACAGCTGCAGGTCGCGGGACAGCTGCTGCAGCGCTGCTACCACCGCTGCATGCGCTGCCGCTGCTGACTCCTTGTAACTGGGGAGACAGAGAGGGACGGATGGGGCAATTGTTTTAACCCAATCATGAACAATGCATCTCAGGTACCCCAGCAGCAGGTCGCGGGACAGCTGCTGCAGCGCTGCCACCACTGCTACATGCGTGCTTAGTGTTAATGCTGCTCACATACCCGTGCACGTCACGAGGTGGCTACCTAGAGTGCTCAAATACCACTGCTGCATGTGCTGCTGCGGCTGCTGTATCCTTTTCCCGCAGAGAAAGGAGATGGCACCGGGGCGATCGAGTTAGATGGAGGGTCAGGCAGGCAGGCAGAGAGCGCAGAGCAGCAAAGCGAGTGAGAGGGAGGGAAAGATTCTCGAAGTGATATTTGAGAATCCTCAAAAGTGATTCTTGAGAATTCTTACAAATCACCTAGCATTCCCAAAAATCACCCACAGCGAGTGAGAGATAGGGAAAAACTCTCAAAGTGAAGAATTTCCACAGTGCTGCGCTTTCAGCCCTCTCAGGATCGTACTAGTCCTCTCTCTTTCTCCTCCAGCCCTACCTCCCATGCCCTACCTCCCTCAAACCCCCCCCCCCCTTCCCCCCCCATCCCTCTCGCCCCCTGCACCACACAACCCCATTTCCCATCCCCACCACTGTCCCACTTCCCTCCCTCTACTCTCTCCTTTCCCACTCCCTCCCAACCCCCCTCCCAAACCCCCCACCACCCCATCCCCCCCTTCCTCCCTGTCCCCCCACCACCCCATCCCCCCTTTGTGTGTACTCGATAAGCGCTTCATCGACAGCAGGTGTGGAGTACCATCCGTCGCTCATCTTCTTCCCCTTGCCGTCCACAGCCGGCTCTAGCAGCCGTGACAGCTCGTGCAGGGGGTCCACAGGGTCATCCGGACTCGCCTGTGGCCAGGGATGGGGATTGAGGAACGGCCGGGGGGTGAGAGGGTGGGGGGGGGGGTGGGCTTCTTACAACGCATCCCAGAAAACTATTCTTCACCCATCCTCTTCATCCTGCTGTCCCCTGCAGGCTCTAGCTGCTGCCACAGCTCGTGCAGGGGGTCCTCAGGGTCATCCAGACTCATCTGCAGCTGAGGGGGGAATGAAGGAGAGGGGTTGGGGGGAGGATGAGGGGGGGGGAGGGGGCTGGGGCGGAGGGGAGCCGTGTGAAAGAAAGAATTTGTTGTCTCCAGCCACCTCTAGCTGCAAGCACAGCTTAACCAGGAGTCCTTGGGGTCATCCGGACTCAACTGCAGTCGAGGGGGGTGGGGGGGGTAGGTCTTGATTACAATTCAAAAAGAAATCACCCTACAGCAAGAGGGGCGGGCTATGGGGGGTGTGGGAGAGGGAGGTGGAACGGCAGGGAAAGCGGGGGAAGGGTGGAGAAAAGAAAGAGTGTGGGCACCATGGGATGGGCGGAATGGTTGCCTGACAGGGTTTATGAGGAGGAGTTGAAGTAAAGAGGGGAGGGGGAAAGAAGGAAGGCGGATGAGGGATCAAGTGAGTGGAAGTTGAGGGATGGTGGGAGAGGGGTGTGTGTGAGGGATGTCCCCCCCCCATGGTCCCTAAACGCCACAACGCCACAATCTCCACACTCATTTTCTCCCACTAACCCCCAGCTCACCCCCGACGCAACCCCAGCCCCCTTTCCCCCCCCCCCCTCCCCCTCTTCCTCTTTCCTATCCCCCCACGCACCAGCTTCTTTGCAATTCTCCCTTTGAGCAGCACCCCATGGTCCCTGAACGCCACTATTTCCACACTCTTGCTTGATGCCTTGCTGGTTTTCCAGGACAGGTTGCGGCTGCGGTTGACAAACGGCATCAGCTCCCGCCTCACCTGGGGTGGTTCAGGCGGCGAGGCGGGAGATGAGGAGAGGGCGAGGGAAAGGGAGAGGGAAAGGGAAAGGGAGAGGGAGAGGGAGAGGGAAAGGTTTTTCCCAGCTGCTTTTTACAAGCCTCAAGAACCAGGTTCGGGGGGAGATGGAGACATGAGGGGGGAGAGGCTGCGGCTGCGGTTGACAAACGGCATCAGCTCCCGCCTCACCTGGAGTGTTCAGGACGAGAGGCAGGAGAGAGGGCGAGGGAGAGGGAGAGGGGACAAAAAACCCGAACAAAAAACCAATGGGGCATGATGCTCTTTCACTGGGGGGGGTGTGGAAGACGAGGGAGAGGGCGAGGAAGAGGGGGGAAAGAGGGGGTGAGGGAGGGACGAGAGGAGAGAAGAGGAGAGGAGAGGAGAGGAGGGGAGGGGAGAGGAGAGGAGAGGAGAGGAGGGTAATGAGAGATCTTCACATGAAGAGGTGAAGTAAAGCACAGCGTTCACAGCACAGCTTACCACTTCATTGTACCGCTCCGCAGCCCTCGCCACCCTGTCGCACTCCTCTTTTATGTGCTCGTACCGCACTCGGCCCCTCCACCGCCCCTCCATATCCTCAAAAAATGACGCCATATCCTCATACTCGCTCTCACTAACCGCCTTCCCCCTGTCCCCCTCCCCCTCCTCCTCCTCACTCCCCTTCCCCCTCTCTTCTTCCCCTTCCCCCAGTTTACCACCCGTCTCCTGCCTCTCCTGCGCCTGCCGCTGCTCCAGTATTCGCCTCACGTTCAAAGGCGGCGGCATGACATAGCCCTTTCCGGCCTTCTCCCCCTCCTCCTCCTTCTCCTCCTCCTCCTCCCCCTCCACTACTCCTTTCCCAGCAACAGCAGCAGCACCCCCAGCCCCCCCAGCAGCAGCAGTGTCACTTAGCAGCACGTTATTCACCAAGGCACACACCGCTTCACAATCTTGCGCCTGAATGCAGGGGGCAAGAGAGAGGGGAAGAGAGCAGAGGAGGGAGGGCTGACTGCTGCGTCGACTCAAAAGCCAACCAGAAACAAGTCCGCGGTGTCGTCACTTGGCAGCGCGTTATTCACCAAAGCACACATCGCCTCACAATCTTGCGCCTGGATACGGCAGGACAGGGAGGAGAGAGGAGGGAGGAGGGAGCCGAGAAGAGGCGGTGGGGTAAGCGAGTTCAGGAGAAGCCGGGCTTGGAAGTTGGAACAAGGGTCTCGCTGGCTGCGTATTTTAAAATCTCTTGGGAATATTTCTGGAAAGTCTCTTGGCCTGTGCTTTGGAAGGAAAGGCGCGAGGCACAGAACATTCCTTCCTGCCACCACTCCCCACGAAGATATTTCTCCTCACACAGCCTCTCGAAGTTGCAGTCCGAATAACTTTGCGCCAAGCCCCTCACAACCTCCCAAGCACCCCAGAAACCTGTTCGAATCCCAACCCTTCCATGCACCCTCCCTCTCCCCCAACACTCTCGCTCCCAATCGTCACTCCCGGGCCTTTCTCCCGAGCCACTCTTCCGGACCTCTCTTCCGGGCCTCTCTTCCGGGCCTCTCTCCCAACCGCCCTGCAACTCACGAGGGAGTCAGCACGGAGTTGCAGACCAAAAACCAATCCGGTACGCATCAAAAGATCGAAATCTTGAACGGCCTAAGAAGGAATTCCACTTAAAAGCGCCTGAAAAGTCGAGCACCCAGTGATCCGTGTCAACACGGAGTGGCAGCCTGCATACCATACCACTTGGGCCTGTAACAACAAATCCATTCTTGAGGCGCCTAAAAAACAGATCCATTAATAAAACGGCTCCGAAAAGGACCACTCTGCAACTCATGGGTGTTGACACGGAGTGGCAGCCCACGCGTTACTTCAGTGAGCAACAACAGACCATGTCAGGGGCGCCTTTTGAGGCGCCTCAAAAAGCGCCTCAGCGGCAGATTCTCGGAGTTTTGATTTGATGCCTAAAGAACAGATCCCCTTATAAAACACAACACCACAAAAAGAAAGAAAGAAAGAAAGAAAGGAAATCCCTGCGACTCACGAGTGTGTCGACACGGAGTGGCAGCCCGCACGCGAGTTGCGTGGGCACCAGCAGATCCATTGCCAACTGCCGCAACCCTCCTTCCCTAGCCACACTGCTGCTGATGCCACCGCTACCGCCACCGCTGCCACCACTGCCGCCGCTGCTGCCACCGCTGCTGCTGCTACTGCTGCTGCCACCGTCACCACTATCGCTGCTGCCGCCGCTGCTGCTGCTGCTGGCAATGCTTGAGTCTTGCAGCATGTCAAGGAAGGTTTGAGCCAGGGCGCCCACTCGCAGCAGCTCGGTGGACGTGGCCTCCTCCGCTGATATGAGCTTCACCAGTCGCGAGGGCGGCACGCACAAGAACTCGGGCAGCACGGGCAGATGAAACATGCGACGGCACGCGTCTGCGGGGGGGGGGAAGGGAGGGGAAGGAAGTGGGGAGGGGGCACAGAGAGGGGAGGAGAAAGGACAGCGGAGGGGAGGGGCGGAAAGGTGGGTTGAGGGATAGTGGAGGGGGGAAGAGGTGGGAAAGAAGTGAGGTGAGAGCAAGGGGACATGCGCACGCGAGCACAAAGAACAAGAAGCGCGCCTTGACTGCTGGTAAGCACGCACATTGCACACTGCCAAACACTGTAATGACTCATGAGCGCGCCTTGTCTGCTGGTGGCAAGCACGCACCCTGAATGCTGGTGGCGACCTCAGGAGGCGGGGGGTGGAGCAGCAATGAGCGCAGGTAGGCCAGGCACACGGAGAGCCCCGCCGCGTTGTCTGGCAACAGGCGATGCGGCAGACTCGGCACTCCCTGCGTCGGCAGAATGCCTTGAGTTGGCAGTGGTGGGGGGGAGAGGGGCGAGCGAGGTGGGGGTGTACCAGGAAAAGGGAGAAGAAGGGAGAAAAGGAGTGGGGGGGAGTGGAGGAGGAGCGAGGGGTGAGGTGGGGGGTGTGGGATGTGAGTGTGGGGGGGGGAAGGGAAATGAGGGAGGATGGAACAGGGAAATCCATGGAATTAATTCTTCCCGGTTTCCATTGACAAAAACCCGGACAGAGAGGGCGATGGAGGGGTCCAAGTCTGGGACACAAGGATTGGAAAGAACACACAGTCTGTGGCATGGCAACAAGGATGCTGTTTTGAGGGCCCATGGGGCATGGATGGATGGAATGCTTGGAATGGAATGGTAGATAAACTGGCAGTAGGACATGGATGGGATAGCAAGGCGCACCACACCATACCACACCACACCACACCCCACCGTACCACACCACACCACAGCACACCACAACATGGGCTATCTAAGCCAAAGCAAAAAAATCATCATGGCATAAACGGAAAAGGAGAGAAAAAAAAAAAAAAAAAAAAAAAAACAAGGAACAGCATGGCATCGCATGCATGGTTGACATGGCATACCTATGTGGAAGGCAGTGGATGCATAGAGGGGTCGAGAGCGCCTTTCAGACAACTCAAAACACACACAGGCCTGGAAGCACACACACTACAGCGCACCAATCTGGGAGGCCGTGGAGACGTAGAGGGGGCGAGGACGCGATTCGGGGGGTGGCAGCAGCAGCTGCTGGAAGGGTGGCGCGGTGCCCAGGTCGTAGAGCTCCCGCACCTGGTGTTGATGCAGTGATGTGCAGTGTGGTGCGGTGTGGTGCAGTGCGGTGTGGTGCGGTGTGGTGGTGTGGTGTATTGCGCCATCCAGGGGAGACATCAGGGTTTGGGGGGGGGGAGGGAGAGGAGAGAGAGAGGTTGGTTCGAGGAACAGATTGGGCAGAGACCAAATGGCATCAGTGGTTGTAGAAGCATGTGGACGAACAGGCTTAGAGTTTAAGAGCTCACTAAAGCCCTCCTGCAGGCATGGGCACAAGCCGACCCGAGCCGAGCCAGGTTCGAGCAGGACCTCAACCGAGCCGAGCCGATCCGAGCCTCTCCGAGCCGGCTTCACAAGAATCCTGGCTTGGTAAGGTGAAGACGGCTTCGAGTCGAAGCCGGCTCGGAAACGAGCCGGCTCGGCTCGGCTCGATTGAAGCCCCGAAGCTGGGGTTTATTCATGCTGGAGGGACCGTAGGGGTGGTGGTTACCCGGGACTTAGGGAACGGTCAGCCGTGGTGAGGGATTGTTTAGAGAATCCCGGGCATGGTTTTTCCCTTCAAAATGCTGCTGCTCCTCATGACAGTTCTGCTTGAAAATGCCCTAAACTACTAATAAAGAGCTTACCGTAGGAGTGCGTAGCGAGTTGTGGTGGCTATAGGCTAGGACGACCGGCTATGCTCTCAGAAAACGCAACTGTAGGACGAGGGTTGCGTTCTTCAAAATTCGAATTTAACCCCAAGCTGGCGACTGTCACGGGCTGAAGCCGAGCCGAAACGAGCCGGCTTCGAGCCGAGCCAGGCTTCGGCTCGTAGCCAGGACGCCTGCGAGCCAAGCCAAGCCACCGGCTCAGCTTCGACAAGCCAAGCCGGCTCGCTCTGAACCGGCTTCACAAAAATAAAGGCTCGGGCGAGCCGCGTCGAGCCGAGCCGAGCCGGCTCAGCCTTGTGCCCATCTCTACCCTTCTGTGTCTATAGTACAGTGCATCGTTCAAGATGAATTGACAGGCCATCTCTGTGTACACGACTCTTGTCAGCTAATTGAACAGGCTCTTTACACAGTCGCTCTCGCACTTGATCAGACTCCTCAGCGCAGCGGCCTCAAGCATGAGTCATTACCTCTGAGTCGCCTCAACAAGAGTTCAAGTTCAATGTATACACACAACCCCCATCCCTGTGTCAGCCAGGGTCGCCCACCTTATTGAGCAGGCTCTTGACAGGGTCGCCCTCGTACTTGTCGTAGCCCTTGGCAGCACACTCCGAGAACAGCATCCCCCCCGCCCCCTGCTCCCGCCACCCCCCCCCTCCTGGTGCCCGATGCCGAAGGTGGGAGAGGAGGAGGGGTGGGGAGACAGACGGATGGTGGGGCCAAGGGGAAAGCGGAATAGGAGTGAGAAGAGGGAAAAGGAGCTGGGAAAGGGGAACACTGGAAGAACGGGGATCGGATGGCGATGGGAGTGGGGGTGGATGGATGGTAGTGTAGGGAGAGGCGAGTGAGAAATGAGGAAGGGAGAGAGCAGGTGGCCAAGCAGCACCCACCCACCCACGGGTGACACAGGAGTGGATGAAGCAGCAATGGCAGGCAGACACCAGCTCTGAGGCAAAGCAAGCTAGCAGCACCTATCAAACAACCAAGCACCCAAGCGGGAAGCACCACCCATCCACCCACCCTACACCCACCCACCGGTGACGGAGGAGTGCACGAAGCAGCGGTGGCAGCCACTGGCTCTGAGCTTCGCCACTGCAGCTTCCTCTGTGAGGCGCGTGTCAACGCTGTAGGAGAAGATCATCTCCCACACACTCACCACCGTGTACCTGGGGGGCGTGGGGCGTGGGGCGTGGGGGGTAAACCGGGGGAAGTGAGAAGGGGGAGAAAGGGAGGGGGGGGGGGGGGGAGGAAACGGAGGCCAGAAACTTAGGGGTCCTCCTCTGAGACATGCGTTGAAGCTGTAGGAGAAGATCATATCCCACACACTCACCACCGTGTACTTTGGGAGTGTGGGGCGTGGGGGGTAAACCAGGGGAGGGGAGGGGTTGGGAAGAGAATGGAGAGCAGAGACTGCTGCTTCCTCTGTGAGGCACGTGTCAGTGCAGTAGGAGAAAATCATCGCCCACTGTGCAGCTGGAGTTGGGGGGAGAAGAAGGACGAGCAGGGAAGGGAGGGGGGGGGGTTGGCTGTGGGTTGGGTACGCAAATGGAGGCCAGAAACTAAGGTTTCCTCTGTGAGACATGTCGAGAAGCAGGAGAAGATAAACTTCCACACACTCACCACCGTGTAACTGGGGGGAGGGGGAGGGGGGGAGGGGGGGACGAGTGGGGGTGTGGTGTGGGTTGGTGTGGGTTGGTGTGGGTTGGTGGGGGAAGCAAATGGAGACAAGAAAGAAGCTTCTGCGCTCTTCCGTCAGCTGCCTGTGCATGTGGGGAGGGGAGCCTGCATCTGAGTCAACTCATCAGCTACTGCAGTAGCTACTGCATTCCGTAAGCAGCCTGCGAATGTGGGGAATGGGAGAGCGAGCGGAGCGGGCGGGCGAAGAGGGGGGGGGAAGGGGGATCACCTGCAAATGCAGTAAGACAGACAGCGTCATCTCCCTCTCTGCTAAAAGCTCCCCCTCCCCTCTCAGTCCTTCTTTTGAGTCGACTCAATGCAGCAAGACAGGTGGCGGCGTCATCTCCCTCTCTCCAATGGACTCCTCCTCCCCACCCTCTCCTTCGCAATTCCCTCTCCCCCCCTCCCCCCCCCCTCTTCTCCCCCTCCACCCTCACCTCATCCCCCATGTCTAACTCCTCCCCTCTTCCCCCCCCCCGCCCCCTCTGCATACATACCCAGTGCTGCTGGTGCAGGCAGTACCCAAAATGGGCACTGAAACTCAATGGGTGTGATTTCTACAGTCGACTCAGAATGTGTCGCGTGACATTGTAACGAGGTGGCTTTTGAGTCGACTCAAAGGCACCTCATACCCACTGGCGCTGGTGCTGCACTGCACGCAATGCCCCATATGGGCATTCGATCTCAATGGGTGTAGTGTAGGGGAGGGAGGCAGTTTTGGAGGTTGGGGCTCTGGAAGGAAACGACACATGAGAGAGCTTTGGGGTTGGGTTGGGTTGGGTTGGGTTGGGTTGGGTTGGGTTGGGGGGCCTATGAAGGATGGACGAACGCACCCTGTGGCACTGGTGCGGGCAATGCCCAGTATGGGCTGCTGCTCTGGGAACTCGATCTCGATGTTGTGGCGTGCGAAGCCATACACGTAGGGACTCCCGGGGTGGGCGTGCCTGCAAGATTCATGTGCGGGCGGGGAGAGAGAGAGGAGGCAGGTGCGGAGAGTGAGTGGGAAAGAGAAAGAGGGGCGAGATCTCCAGATGCAAGCGAAGCCTCTCCTCTAGAGTGGCCCCCCTTGGGCGCCCCGGAGGCCGGCATGTCCCTTGGGGACTGTTTTGCTGTGATAGAACCCCAGGGCGAGCGGCAGTAGGAGGGGATCGGTTAGGAGACCTACCTGAGCCAAGGCACCTGTTTGTACCAACCCTGCATGCCTAGCTTGTACCCAGGATTGCCCATCAATGACGGACCATTCGAGAGAGAGAGACAGAGGAAGAAAGGGGTTAGCTGGGGCCGTGAGGAAGGGTGCTTGTGTGCAACCCAAGGCCGTAACAGAAGCAACAGAAACAAATAAATACGAGAGGGAGAAGGTTGGGTGGTGGTGAGGGAGAGGAGTGGGAAGACGGGTTGAAGATGGGGAAAAGGGAGAGAAGTCTGACTCAAAACTCCTTTCGCTTCCTGCATGAGCTGCCTATGCGCCTTCTGATCTGAGGCACCACAGACATACACCTCTCTCTTTCTCAACCGACGCGCTTTCAGGGGCCGATTTGCTTGTTTGTGGCAAGCAGCACAAACCCCTCACTTTTTCTAATCCAACGTGCGCTCTCTTGTTTTCACACGCCCTATCTCTCTCAAACACTATCTCTCTCACACCCTATCTCTCACTCCCTCCACTCCTGCACCCACCCTCCTAGGAACCGCTGCTTTCGCTTGTTGCCCGTGCTGCCTGCACGCCCCCCTGCTGGAGCCGTGTCTAGAGCCTCCTCCAATATGGCCGCCGACAGGCCATGGCTGGTGAGCGAATCTAGCGTCTGGAAACAGACAGTGCGACAGAGGGGATGAGGGGGGGGGGACGGGATGGGACGGGACGGGAGGGGAGGGGACGTGAGGGGAGAGGAGGGGAGCGGAGGGGAGGGGAGCGGTGGGCGAGGCATCCAGGGTGTCCTCCACTATGGCCGCTGACAGGCCATGGCCGGTGAGCGCATCTAGCGTCTGGTGACACATACACACACAGGGCAATAGGGGGGCCCAGGAGAACGGTGGAGGGGAAAGGGGGAAAGGGGGAAAGGGGGAAAGGGGGAAAGGGGGAAAGGGGGAACAAGGTTGGTGCGGCCATTGGCGAGACGTCTACAGTCGCCTGCCCTATGGCTGCCGACAGGCTGTGGCCGGTGAGCGCATCTAGCGTCTGGAGGCACGGGGGGGAGGGAAATAGTGCGGCCCAAGGGGAGGGTGGAGGGTGGAGGGTGGAGGGGGAAAGAAGTTGGGCCTTTGGCGACGTGCCGTGCCTACGGTCTCCTCCACTATGGCCACCGACAGCCTGTGGCTGGTGAGCGCCTCTAGTGTCTGGACTGGAGGCACCGTGTTGGGAAGACAGGAGAGCGAGGGGGGAAGACAGGAGAGCGAGGGGGGAAGACAGGAGAGCGAGGGGGGAAGACAGGAGAGCGAGGGGGGAAGACAGGAGAGCGAGGGGGGAAGACAGGAGAGCGAGGGGGGAAGACAGGAGAGCGAGGGGGAAGACAGGAGAGCGAGGGGGGAAGACAGAAGAGCGAGGGGGGAAGACAGGAGAGCGAGGGGGGAAGACAGGAGAGCGAGGGGGGAAGACAGGAGAGCGAGGGGGGAAGACAGGAGAGCGAGGGGGGAAGACAGGAGAGCGAGGGGGGAAGACAGGAGAGCGAGGGGGGAAGACAGGAGAGCGACGGGGGAAGACAGAAGAGCGAGGGGGGAAGACAGGAGAGCGAGGGGGAAGACAGGAGAGCGAGGGGGGAAGACAGGAGAGCGAGGGGGGAAGACAGGAGAGCGAGGGGGGAAGACAGGAGAGCGAGGGGGGAAGACAGGAGAGCGAGGGGGGAAGGAGAGCGAGGGGGAAGACAGGAGAGCGACGGGGGAAGACAGAAGAGCGAGGGGGGAAGACAGGAGAGCGAGGGGGGAAGACAGGAGAGCGAGGGGGGAAGACAGGAGAGCGAGGGGGGAAGACAGGAGAGCGACGGGGGAAGACAGGAGAGCGACGGGGGAAGACAGAAGAGCGAGGGGGGAAGACAGGAGAGCGAGGGGGGAAGACAGGAGAGCGAGGGGGGAAGACAGGAGAGCGAGGGGGGAAGACAGGAGAGCGAGGGGGGAAGACAGGAGAGCGAGGGGGGAAGACAGGAGAGCGAGGGGGGAAGACAGGAGAGCGAGGGGGGAAGACAGGAGAGCGAGGGGGGAAGACAGGAGAGCGAGGGGGGAAGACAGGAGAGCGAGGGGGGAAGACAGGAGAGCGAGGGGGGAAGACAGGAGAGCACAGGGAGGGGAGGAAGAGGTCAGAGGGTGAGGAGCGTCTAGGGTATTTCCACCAGCAAGGTTCTAGATTCTAATTCCCACCCCACCATTCCTCTCCCCCTCCCCCCAGTGATCGAACACTGCAACCATCTCTTTCTCCATCCAACTCCCCTGCCCCTGCCATCCCACTCCCCTAGGGTCTTAAACCCCAAGCACGAGGCATGGACTCCGGCCTAGCGCCCCTCCCATCCCATCCCCCTAAAGGCTTTAACCCCAGGCACCTGCGTCAGGTTCTGGGTGGGGCAGCCAGCGCGCGGCACGGTTTCTGGCTTAACGCCGCCCATGGGGTTGAGCCCTGCATGCTCCACCAGCAGACACGCGTCAAAGCCCACGGTCTCGTAGAACTCGCCCACCTGCAAGCAGCCATGCGGAGAGGAGGGCGGTGGGGAAGCAGACCATGGGTGAGAGAGTTCTCTAGGTGCCTTCAATCAAAGCGGGCCATGCATGCTCCACCAGCAGACATGCGTCAAAGCCCACCGTTTCGCTTCGAGGTACGGCATGGGGGGGGAGGGGAAGGAGGGTGGGGAAGAGCGTCTTTAGGCGCCTGAGAAACCAGTCCTGCATGCCCACGGTCAACCAGCAGCTCCACCAGCAGACACGCGTCCAAGCCCACGGTCTCGCCTCAAAACTCGCCCACCTGTAGGGGAACATTGGGGTGGGGGGGCAGAGGGGGGTGGGTGGGTGGGTGGGGACAAGGCATGAGGGAGGACGTGAGCTTGCAGTCAGCTCTAGAGTCAATGAGCCCTGCATGCTCCACCAGCAGACACGCCGCACGCGTCCAAGCCCACCGCCTCGTAAAACTCGCCCACCTGCAAGCAAGCAAGCAAGCAGCCTCGCATGGGGGGGCCGGGACTGTGTGAGAGTACTTCAGGTGAGAGCAGGCGAGATCGAGAGAGGACGATAGGAGTGAGAATGAGAGAGAACGGGGTGCGGAAGTGGAAGGGCAGACAGGTACCGACAAGCCAGAAAGCGAGGTGGAGAGCGGAGAGAGGAGAGCGGAGAGAGGAGAGAGGAGAGCAGAGAGAGGAGAGCGGAGAGAGGAGAGCGGAGAGAGGAGAGCAGAGAGAGGAGAGCGGAGAGAGGAGAGCGGAGAGAGGAGAGCGGAGAGAGAGAGGAGAGCAGAGAGAGGAGAGCGGAGAGAGGAGAGCGGAGAGAGGAGAGCGGAGAGCGGAGAGCGGAGAGTGAGATGCCGACACGAGGAGATCACCACTGAATTTACTGTCCCTTTGACCCCGCCCTCTCCCCCACCCCCCCCCCCACCCTCCCCCCTTCTTGTGCATTCTACTGCTCTCCGACCATACTGCACCGCACTGCACTGCACTGTACCCTACAGAGCACGACTTCATGCGGGAACTGCTGCTTGGTCTTGAGAATGAGTGTGTTCACTCCGTTCTCCGTCATCCTGCCGTGGCATGGAGGAGAGGGAGCGAGAGAGAGGGAGAGAGAGAGGGCGAGGGAGAGAGTGAGGGAGAGAGAGCGAGCGAGGGAGAGGGAAACACAACAATGAATGCAGGGAAACATGCGAACTGGAGGAGAAATGCATGCGGGGAGCACAGTGGATGCAGTGAAACGCAAAGCAAGTGAAAAGGCACATAGAGTGGCAAGAAGAAGAGTCCGACAAATATTCTGAACGCTCCTTGCGGAATGCTCGGCGCGGGAGGTGGAGGGGGGTGAAGGGAGGTGGAGGGGAGTGAAGGGAGGTGGGTGGAACAGCAGAAAATAAAAAGAAGTGACAATCGATGGGAAACATGCAGCACGGCACGGCACGGCACGGCAGACACAAGACATTGAAAACGAAGAGCATCAGCAATGCATACAGCATAGCCCAGTTGATAGATACCCCCGTTGATCAGCAGCGTCGTACCAGCACAGAACGAGCTAATTTGACGGCACGGAATAACAGCACACAGGATCATCAACTCTCTGTGCCAATCAAAACACAGAGACACACAGAATACCAGCAGGCAGGCAGGCAGGCAGGTAGGCAGGCAGGCGGGCAGGCGGGCGGGCGGGCGGGCGGACGGGCAGGCAGGCAGGAACAGGGCGTACTTTCCGTTCTTGAACTTGGGGTTGGCCCCGAGCAGGTTGGAGTAATCGAGGTTCTTCACGAGCTCCCTTGCGCTCAGCTTCTTGCACCGCTCCATGTGCCCCCGGTACCACTCTATCACCTCACGCTCCTTGGCCGCACTCAGCTTGCGCTTGCCGTGAGACAGGGTCGCGAAGGAGGAGGGTTTGGAGGAGGGGGGGAGTTTGGAGGAGGAGGAAGCTTTGGGGGAAGATGATGCGGATGATGATGTGGCTCCAGCGGCTCTAGCTTTGTGCTTTCTTCGGCGCCGCGAGTGGACGAATCGAACCCCGTAAGGGGTGTATAGCGGAGGAGAGGGCGGACGAGCATGTGAAATAGCGGCAGAAGAAGCAGAGGCAGAAGCAGCAACCGCAGCCGTATCCGCAGGAGCAGAAGCGCGAGTGGAGACAGACGCAGGGGCAGTCGGAAAAGGCGAAGATGGAGAGCGGAGGGAAGGAGAGCGGGAGGACGAGAAGGCGAGAGACGAGGCGGAGGGAGGAGAGACGGGCGTGGGAAGTGAAATACGGCTCAAAATCGACCTGCAACGGGCGGATGGTTGAAAGGAGGGAAGGAAGGGGAGAGAGGGGGGAAGGGGAAACGGGATTGGGGTAAACTGAGGAGGAGGAGGAGGAGGAGGAGGAGGAGGAGGAGGAGGAGGAGGAGGAGGAGGAGGAGGAGGAGGAGGAGGAGGAGGAGGAGGAGGAGGAGGAGGAGGAGGAGGAGGAGGAGGAGGAGGAAGAAGAAGAAGAAAAAGCCACAGAAGCATCCCTTCCTTTCTTCTCGCGTAAAAACCGCACGTTCTCCCCATTTCAAAAACAAGCACGGAGTCCTCACCTGGAGCGGAAAGCACTGCTCTCACTCCATCCAATCCCCTCCCGCCACCTGTCCCCTCGCGTCCACCTCCCCCGCGTCAGCAGAAGCGCGTGGAGCGGCGCCGATCGCGGCGACGCTGAGACCATCGCAGCGCGCATGGCGGCGATTGCGGGGAGATTCGGGGAGGGTGGCTGGGGAGTTGGCGGAATCCGCGGTCGGAGTGAGGGGGAGAGGAGAGGGCGAAGGAGCGGCGAGAAGCGAGAGGGGTGGGGGTAGTAGGGCATAAAGGATATCGGCTACTGAGTCGACTCGGAATCGGGGATACTCGGGCAGAGAGGAGGCCGTTGGATGGATGGTCGGATGAAAGGTTGCTCGTGCAAGGAACTGCCGTGCCGAGTGTTCCTCGAGTATTCCTCGCTCTCTCGTTCGGCGTCCTTGTCGTAAGCTTTTGAGTCGACCCAAAAATTGTCGTGAGGAGACACAAATCAAATTGCGGCGACAGTAAGCCGGGTGGGTGGGCCTATGGCGGAACGACGGGAGTGTTTTTGAGAATTCTCAAAAACACCCTGCAAAATCAAGGCCTATGGCGGAACGACGGGAGTGTCGCTTGAGCTGCCGCCTGGTGGTTTTAAAGCCATGGTTTGAGGCGCCTCCACCCAGTGCAGCAGCCTGGTGCTACAGCCACAGGCTATCGGCTACAGCCGCCTGATGCAATGACGACGATCGGACGATCGGACGATCGGACGGTCACAGACTGAGCTGGCGGAGATTCCGAGGTGAGAAAGCGACGCTGAGGAGGAAGCGGAAGAGGTCCCAGGGGAGACGAGGAAGAGGACGACGGCGAGCGGAGAGAAGCGGATCCTTACGCTTACTTTTAGAGACAAGTGAATACAGCGGGGAGAGGGACCGTAGTGGGTTAGGAGAGACGAGGGTAGAAGCACGTCAAAGCAGCTTTTGAGTCCGCTATGGATCGTTGCGACTAGGTCACTATGCAGGAGGATTTGGTAGATGTTAGTGCCCCTCCATTCCTAGAATCTCAAGCCCAGTTTGCGCACACCCCACAGTTGCGCGTCGGGGGTAAACCCGCGGGAGGCAGGAAAAGGCGGCGGAACTCGAATGCGGCTGATGATTTGGTTGGATGTGATGTTTGGCGCCAACAGCAGGCATGACATGGTGCATGCTGGCGAGAGGATAGCATCACTACAAACGGATTCGCAAATCCTCCTAGATTGCTACAAGCCCAAGCATACACATGATATTTCTGATGTTACAACTCAAGAAGTCGTCCTCTCCATCAATCTCTACACATAGCACTAAAAAAGGCAACATACAAAAGCTACTCTGATTGAGCTACAAACAAAAGTTCTTGCAAAACTGTTCCCCAAACACTCAGGTGTTTCCCATGCTTTCATCCGTTTTGCCCGTTCTCAACCGAAGAGCGAGTCTTCCAGGGAATACAACCCAGTGGCTGGCCCGATAAATCGGAAGAGGATCCAAGCACCAGCCAGCACAAAGATGGCCTTGTAAGCGAAATCGTTGAGCTTGGCAAGGCCACCCTCCTTCGCCAGCCATGCCTGCACCAGCCTCTCAAACCCCGACTGCTCACCCGACATCTTAAACACAGGCTCTGCAGCCTTGGGTGGGGGTGTCGGCTCAGGCTCTGGTGTGACACTGTAAACGGGTGGAAAGAAACCAGAGGTAAGGCAGAGAATAAGCAAGGCGCAAACGAGAGATGCAGTTGTTGGCGCATACAAGATTCAGGGCTAAAACCAGGGTACATGTCAATACAACAATCCCCTTCCTTGTGCGACCTTTTAGACTGTTTACCCTGTTTACGCACATAGGGTTTCACTTACCTCCAAATGGTGCTCTTGCCCTTCCCCAGCCTCTCCTCCAGTGCCGCTAGCCTCTCCGCGGAGCTCAGCTTGGGCCCCTCATCCTCCTCATTGCCCTTTCCCCCCTGCAGCCATTATCGCGCAAAATGCAAACAGTGCGTAGTTGATTAGGGTAACAAAAGCAAGAGAAAAGCATTTAACCCTGCATGCTGCTGCTGCTGGTGCTACTGCTGCGTCTGCTGCTGCTTCTGCTGCTGCTTCTGTTGCTACTTCTGTTGCTACTTCTGCTTGCTGCTGCTGGATGATGCTTCCACGGCTGGCCCTTCTGCTGATACTGATACTGCTGCTGCGGCTGCTTCTGCGACTCATTCTGCGCGGGGACGCAGAAAACGTGAAGGCAAGTAGTTCAGTTGATAGAAAATGCCCCCGGGGTCTCAAGCTGACTAATCCTCACCTTAGCAGCTGCCCGCACTACAGGACGTTGCTGCCCCAACTGTCTCCTCCGCAGCGTAAGCCGTGCTGTGGCTGAATCGCTCCGGCAAACGTTCGCGCCGGACTGAAAATGTTGTGAAGCGCTACACAAAGCAGGCAGGGTAGCTGCTGTCACTGCTGTAACTGCGGCCATGGCGGGAAGGCGAAGAGATTGGAGGGTGAAGAGGACGAGCTGCCAGGCGGGCCTTGGGGGGAAGGGATTGGATTGCTCAGGGAAGGGAAAAAAAGGAGGTGAGGGAGAGAACGCTTGTGGTGCTGGAGTGCTAGGGCAGTGGAGGATTCTTTCCAAGGCTGCCATCAGCGAAGTGAACTGCGAACGTTAACGATACTAGCGAAGGAGATTCTTACGGGAGAGTTTCCTCTGATTGGATTGTCCATGAGGTGTTGGCGAACTGTGACGATGACTGCGATCCCCTACACATCCACATCACAGGAGCCGTTTGAACGTGCTTGCGTGGCTGTCTCTGATTAGCCCTCCCATCAGTGTGGATGCAGAATCACGAGCACTTCCAGAACGATGGTACAAAACATTTGGTACATCTACACTTCCGAAATCGTTTAGAAAAGAGCAGCTCCTAAATGCAACTCATAACAATACAACCTTCTCTTCAAGAAAGAGCTATTTGGAAGACATTGAACATAGTGTGACCAAATAAAATACAATCTTATCCATGTACGCTACTCAAGCATGCGGACCAGGCCAATCCTGCGACTCGGAGGCGTCGTTGTGAACGAAGTAGCTAGCAGCCACGATCAGATACGACAACACCAACATGATGCCCTTGAAATAATTAGCTTCTCCCTCCTGCAAAGATTCGGATGCAAGGGGGTGGTGAGGGGGGACACGGCGACAAATATATTATGTAAGTTTCCCTGCTTCTCCGATGCACACATGAAGCACAACGTGCAAAAGCAGGAACACACGCCCAACCATGCGCCCTACCCTCTTTCCCAAAAGACCTGTGCATGCGGGCTTACCGTAAGCAGTGCCGCCACGACGAGCACAGTGACGAAGAGTGTGGCCGTCTCAAAGATGTGGAAGTTGAGGTCCATTGGCACTCCCATGGCCCATCCCAGCACCACACACAGCGGGATCTGGTAAGCATGGGATGGGGGGCAATCAAGGAATAGGATGGGGAACAATAGGGGACTTCACAGGTTACGAATAGCTCGTTATTTTGGTTCGTCAGAGCCACTCATTTTCTCACTGGAAGGAAGCTGTAGGACAAAAGCAGTCACACATCATGCGTACTGGGTGAGCGCCAAAACATGATGTATGACGAATCATGGACGGTGGAGGGGAGGTGGGGGGTACTGACAACAGCGGCACATGGCAGTCTACTGCCATGGGTGAAGGAGGGTGAGGGTGAGGGGCAAAGGGGGGGAGTGAGAGAGCAAGAAAGGAAGCGGTAATATAGGAAGTGGGGTAGAGGAGAAACTGAGGGACGGTGGAGTAGCGGTAGTGAGGGGGTGAGGGTGTGGGACGAATGAGAGAGTGAGGGAGAGAGAGGGAAAGCGAGAGCAACGGACCGCAAACATGGAGATTTGTGTTGACGACCCAATGGCAACGCCTAGAGCAATGTCCTGGTGGTTGGGTTCCAATGGGGGGTTGGGAAGACAGCACGTCAAGACGAGGCGTGATGGGTGAGGATGGGATGGGATCCCAGGGATTGAAGGAATTCTGGGGAGGATTGCATTGGAATGTAAGAGGGGCCATGGAGAGAGAGAGCGGGCGAGCGTGCACTTGTGGGTGTGAAGAAACAGGCAAGCGAACCAAGGCGCGGAACTGTGGAAAGAGAGTGACACGCAGGTTGGTGAGCTCCGGTTCGGGTTTGGTGTTTCAGTTCAGGGATGTTAGAGGAGAGAGGCGCACGAGCTTGTTCTTGATGGCAAAGATGATGGCTGAGGCGTGCTCCGCTGCATTGCCCACAATGGGCAGGATGACCACGCTGATGAACGCCACTGGCATGTCCCAGCTGTTGCTTGCGCCCTGCGCACGAAGAGGGGAGGGGGAGGGAGGGGAGAAAAGGGGAAGGGAAAAAGGGGGAGTGTGGGCGGAAGGAGGGGGAAATTAAGCTGCACAGCACCTCCTCTGTCTGAGATGCGGAAAAGAATCAGTACCTTGTATGGCTCACCAGTTCACTGCACTGTGTGCACCTCTATGGCGTCAACGAGGTACTCTAAGAGGATGGCGACGAAGATGGTGACGATGCCCATCCACACATACTACGGACGGACCCCCACAGCCACAGCCGCGGCAGGCACCTCCTCCTCCTCTGTCTGAGGCGCCTAAGAAAACCAGAACCTTGCAGGCTTGCATGATCCAGCAGTGGACTGCGCGAACCTCTATGGCGTCAACGAGGTACTCAGAAAGGATGGCGGTGGAGATGGTGACGATGGCCATCCACCGCACTATGGAACCCCACAGCCCCAGCACCTCCTCCTATGTCTGAGGCGCGTAGACGAATCGGTGCCTTCCATGACGAACCAGGGGATAAGGCACACCTCTATGGCGTCAACCAGGTACTCGGAGAGGATGGCGATGAAGATGGTGACGATGGCCATCCACACTATGGACCCCCACAGCCCCAACACCTCCTCCTCCTCCTCCTCCTCTGCATCATCCTCCTTGCCCACCTCCATGTCCGGCTGGGGAATGGGCCAGCAGTAAGGGAAGGGAGGGGTGTGGGAAGGGAGGGCTGTGTGATGGAACTAGCGAAATGGTCATGGCGGCTAGGGTGAGACGTTGAGCTTAGGCACTTGCTCTATGACAGGAATGCAGACCAACAAGGGATAAGGGAGCTCCAAACTCTTCCCACACCTGCCCTCCTCTCTGTCTCTCTCCCCCCTCACTCTTCCCCACACACTCACACACCCACATGTTCGCGCACACACAATTCATCCTCCCTCCTAGACATGGGCAAAATGCGATCCCGATTTAAATCGCATCGCATTGGGGGGCGATTTGATTAAATGCCATGCGATTTTAAATCGCATCGCGCGATTTAATTTCTGAAAAAAAAAATCGCACATCGCGTTTAGCGCGATGAATATTAAAACTGCATGCGGTGTTTAATTAAATCGCGCGATGCGATTTAAAATCGCATCGCGTTTTAAAACAGAATAAAAAAAACACCCCAAAAAAACAGAAAAAAACCATGGCTGCCGGGAAATTGAATCACGGGCAGTCGTAAGGTAGAGTGCAAATAACTAGTGTGGTTTCGTAGTGGGTTTCAGAGCTGGTTTTAGTGCAACATCGCGCGCGATTTTTTAAAAATCGCATATCGCATTTATATCGCGTTTTTTAGCGCGATTAAAATTAAATCGCGCGATATACATTCATCGCATCACGCGATGATTTAAAAAAAAATCGCAATCGCAAAAACGCGATTAAATGCGATGCGATGCGATTTTTTTTGCCCATGTCTACTCCCTCCCTTCCTTTCTCCGACCCTCCCTACCACCCTCCCACCCTCTCACCCTCCCTCCCTTTCCCACCACCCACCCTGGGGCTTTTTTGAGTCGACTCAAAAATCACCCTCCCTCCCTTTCCCACCACCCACCCTGGGGCTGGCAGCCGTGGTCAAACCCGAGTGCACCATCCGCATCCGCGGACTATTACACGTCCCAATCACCGCCGCCTCGCCCTTCCTGGCCCCGCCCTTCCCCTCCGCTCCTCCCCACGCGCTTGGGTCCGCAGTCGCGTTCTCGTCGTAGAGGTGCGTGTGCGACTTGAGCTGGAAGTAGAGGTAAGCGCCGTACGCCACGAGCATGATGCAGCTGCTGATGCGCGAGAGAGCGAGCTCTGAATCGTTGTCGCGCATCTCCGTGTGCGTCGAGTGGAGTATGGCGGGTAAAGCCAGCCCCATCACCGCCATCAGCAATAGGCCAGAGTTCACCAGCGCGGCCGTCTGGGGAAAAGGGAGGGGACAAGGGAAGGGGGGATTTGGGGGAGAGGGGGGTCGGAATGGGAGGAGACAGCGGGTAGGTGCGTGTGCGACTTGAGTTGGAAGAAGAGGTACGCGCCGTACGCCGCGAGCATGATGCAGCTGCTGATGCGCGAGAGAGCCAACTCCGAGTCGGTGTCGCGCATCTCCGTGTGCGTCGAGTGGAGTATGGCGGGCAGCGCCAGCCTCATCACCGCCATCAGCAGCAGGCCAGAGTTTACAAAGGCGGCCGTGTGGGGAAGAGGCGGCGAGGAGCGAGGGAGGGGAGATGGGAATGGGAGGGGGAGGGAAGGGGTGAGGGGATGCAAGGGTTGGGGGAAGGTGTCTGCTTGTGCGTTGGCAGGAGGTAAGCGAGGTCAGTTGTTGTCCGAGTCAGTTGTGCGAGAGAGCCAGCTCCGAGTCGTTGCCGTGCCTCTCCGTGTGCATGGAGTGCAGGATGGCAGGTGGGTAGGGCTAGGCGCATCCCCGCCATCCGCAACAGGCCAGAGTTCACTAGTGCTGCAGTGTCTAACGTGGGGGGAGGGAGGAGAGGGAGGGGAGGTGGAATGGAAGGACAAGTTGAGGGGAGGTAGCATGGAAGGACAAGTTGAGGGGAGGTGGCATGGAAGGACAAGTTGAGGGGAGGTGGCATGGAAGGACAAGTCGAGGGGAGGTGGCATGGAAGGACAAGTTGAGGGGAGGTGGCATGGAAGGACAAGTTGAGGGGAGGTGGCATGGAAGGACAAGTTGACGGGAGGTGGCATGGAAGGACAAGTTGAGGGGAGGTGGTATGGAAGGACAAGTTGAGGGGAGGTGGCATGGAAGGACAAGTTGAGGGGAGGTGGCATAGAAGGACAAGTTGAGGGGAGGTGGCATGGAAGGACAAGTTGAGGGGAGGTGGCATGGAAGGACAAGTTGAGGGGAGGTGGCATGGAAGGACAAGTCGAGGGGAGGTGGCATGGAAGGACAAGTTGAGGGGAGGTGGCATGGAAGGACAAGTTGAGGGGAGGTGGCATGGAAGGACAAGTTGACGGGAGGTGGCATAGAAGGACAAGTTGAGGGGAGGTGGCATGGAAGGACAAGTTGACGGGAGGTGGCATGGAAGGACAAGTTGAGGGGAGGTGGCATGGAAGGACAAGTTGACGGGAGGTGGCATAGAAGGACAAGTTGAGGGGAGGTGGCATGGAAGGACAAGTTGAGGGGAGGTGGCATGGAAGGACAAGTTGAGGGGAGGTGGCATGGAAGGACAAGTTGAGGGGAGGTGGCATGGAAGGACAAGTTGAGGGGAGGTGGCATGGAAGGACAAGTTGAGGGGAGGTGGCATGGAAGGACAAGTTGAGGGGAGGTGGCGACGGCAGGAGGGAAAGGGAGAGGGATGAGGTGGAATGGAGAGGGGAAAAGGGTGAGGAGATGAGAAGTATGAAATGGAGGAGAGTTGGAGTCACGGGGTACTCCGGCTCAAAGGGCAGATTAATATATATGTTTATATTATTCGGTTGTCTTTATTCCTTGTTGCTGCTATTCTCCTCTACTGTTCTCTTATGCTCTTCTGTCCTCTTTCTTCTCTTTCCACTTCTGCATTCTCCCTACTTTTCCTTCCCTCACTCAGCGATTTCCATTCTTCGTACTCTTCTCCTCCACCCCTAACGCTCTCTCCTAACCCCTCTCAATTCACCTCCACTCCTCCCCTTCTCACCGTGTTGAATTGAACCTCTGTTCGCATAGAAGGCCCAGGCCGCCCGCTTAGAATGCGCAGCCGAGCACGAGGAGCATGTTGGAGAGGATGGAGCCCAGCAGCGACAGCTGCACCACGCGGATCATGCTGCTCCCCTTCTCGCTCCCCTATCCTCCTGCTGAACGTTCCCCTCACTTCTCCTCTCAAACCCCAACTGCTGTTCCCTCAAATCCACACTCCATCCCTCACTCCCTCCCGGTGAACCCCAGACAAAACCCCCTCCTCCCCCCCTCCCCCCCCTCCCTCCTTTCTTCTCACCTTGTTAAACTTCTGTTCGCGGTAGCGCAGGCCCCCTGCATAGAAGGCGCAGCCGAGCACGAGGAGCATGTTGGAGAGGATGGAGCCCAGCAGCGACAGCTGCACCACGCGGATCATGCCGTTGCGCAGCGCGAACACGCTGATGATCAGCTCCGTAGCATTGCCAAAAGTCGCGTTCAGCAGCCCGCCCACTGAAAGACAGGGTTGGGTAAGAGTGTGCAGCGGGGAAGGGGAGAGGTGGGGGGATCTGTCAACGAGCAAACACGCTGACGATCAGCTCCGTGGCGTTGCCAAATGTGGCGTTCAGCACCCGCCCACTGAAAGTTGGGTCGGGAAAAGTTTACGGGGGGGTGGGTGGATGAATGGGGGTTTGGGGTCGGTGCGCAAACGCACGCTGATGATCAGCTGCGCTGCATCGCCAAACATCGCGTTGAGGAGCCTGCAGAGGGGTTTGTTGAAGGGGGTTGGGTGGGTAAGAGCTTGCAAGGTGGGGGAGAGGGAGTAGGGTAGGGAGGTGCTGAGTTGACGAGCAAACACTCTGATGATCGGAAGCTCCGTGGTGTTGCCAGAAGGGCGGGGGAGCGGGGGGAAGAGCAGTGGACGACGAAAGGGGAGGTGGGGTAGTAGACAGTAATAGGCGGCGGCATAGATATGAAGGGAGGGGAATTGGTGGAGACGACATGTGTGGAGCGCTAAAGGAAGGGAGAGATGTTAGAGGTGGAGGGAGTGAAAGGGCCGTACAGGTTGCTGAAGTGCTTCATGTTGGAGGTGATTTTTGAGAATTCTCAGAAATGTGTGGAGAGGTAAGGGAGAGATGTTAGAGGTGGAGGGAGTGAAAGGGCCTTACAGGTTGGACCAGTGTAGAGGGCGAGTTGCCTGTGAGATGAGATGACGAGGGGAAGGTTCGTGCACAGGACCATGCACACACATACGCATCCACACGCATGCATGCACCAGACCATGCATACACATGGATGCACACGCATGCATGCACGTGCACGTGCATGCACACACGCACACAGGCAGTGGGAGAAGAGAGTTGAGAAGAAGCAATGGCAAAGTGTTACTACAAGTGGCACAGACATTGCAACTAGTTCACAAAAACAAGCACTCTGAAGATGAGCAGCCTGCAAAACAAAACCAAGCCGCCAAACTACGCTCTTATTTCCTGCTTCCACCCCAGCCCATGCCATGCCATGCCATGCCATCCCGTGCCATGGCCCAACTCACTCTGTGACATATCCTAGCCGTTCAGCCAAGGGCGCAATGCCAAGGAGAGAAAACAGGAATATGTAGCCCTGGGGCATGGAGGTGTGAGGGCACAGGGAGACAGGGGAGTGGGTGAAGAGAGTGAGGAAAAGGGACGAAGGGGAGAGCATGAGGGAGTGGGGGAAAGGGGTGGAGTGGAGTGGGAGAAGGGTTTAGTGGGGGAAGAGGGGAGGAATGCGAGAATGATGACGGGGAGGATGAATGGATAATGGGAGGGAGGGAGGGAGGGAGGGAGGGAAAAAGGGAGAGGGAACAAGCGGATGAAGGAGACGAGGCGAGGCAGCAATGGCATGATTGGAAACAGCTTTACACCCTCTCCCTAAACCCGAACCCCAGTGTTCCCACACGCCATTGCTGGGACACATGTAAACATCACCACCATCACTTTCACCGCTCCACCACCACATCCCATCACAGTTTGTTGAACCATCCAGCCCTCATGATCCGCATCCCCACCCGATTCCTAGCCCTTCTCCTCATCGACCCCACTCCTCATCACCCCCCTGCCGCTATTGCCATTCCCCGCATGATCTTATTACTACCTGTGGCACTTCCAGCTGCACGCACACAATGGCGATCACGATCGACGGCATCAGCATGTATTCAGACGCCTCAAAACCCCGCTCCTCATCACCCCTCTGCCTCCCTTACCTGCGCCACTTCCAGCTGCACGCACACCATGGCGATCACAATGAACGGCATCAGCACGTTCAGCTTCGACCCGAAGAATATCTCCGTCAAACTCTTCTTAAAGTACTCCTTCCATTCCTCCTCAGTAAACGTCGCCCCAAACCTCCCTCCGCTCAGCACTCCGCCTCCGCCCCCGCCGCCCCCCCCGCTCCCCCCTTCCCACTGGCTCCCCATGCCGCCGCGCTTCAGAATACCTTTCAGCAACCCCCGCCCCTCCCCATCCTCCTTCCCGCTCAAAAACCCCTCCGAATCTTCCCCCGCGCTGCTGTCCCCCAAATCTCTCCTCCCCGGTTTCCGCAGCCTCCCCCTCTTGGAATCCGTCCCCCCCAGCGCGCTACTGCCGCCTACGCCGCTAATGCCGCTTACGCCGCTAGTGCTGCTTACGCCGCCACCGCTGGTGGCAGCGCCGCCAGCGGCGGCGCCGGTAGCGGCGGCAGCGGCGCTAGAAGCTGCGGCGGGACGCGGTTCGACAGGTCGCAGCGCGGTTCCTTCCTCTTCGATTTCGGGTGCGGACAAGGAGGGCCCGCGCGGAAAAGCGGGAACCATGATGGGTGCAAGTTACGGGCGTGCGTGGGATGGGGGGGCGGAAGGAGATAAGTGCGAGGCTGAAGAAGGGTTTCTTTCACGGTTACAACAACATTGGCCGTTGATGTGGTTGTTGCTGCTGCTACTGCTGCTGCTAATGCTGATGCTCCTGCTAATGCAGCTGATGCTGCTTCTGCTGCTGCATTAGCGATGTGTACTGATCCTTGCTCAGACAACCAAGAGCTTCATACGCGCTTTAAGGCGAGACGCGGACGGTTCAAGATACCGCTTCTCCTTATGGCCATCTGAATGGCCAGCAAGGACGGAGCCGCAGCGCGACCACTGAAAAGTTTCCACTGAAACGCAGGACAGCTGAAACCTTTCCCCCCGCCTAGGCGCTGTCGTGGAACGAAAACTGTTGACAGGAGATGAAAGGAAGTAGGGGGGCGGGTGAGGGAAAGAGGCAAGGCAAACGAAAACGGGGCATTCGATTACGATCGGTTGGAAATTGTGGTCGGCCAATCGGATGCGAAAGGAGGCAGAAACAGAAGAATGCAGAAACAGAAGAAAGCAGAAATAGCACGAGGATAAGCGCCTGATACACACACGCGTGCGATGCAGCATCGAGACCCAGAACGGAGGACAGCCGTATTCCGATCAAACTATAATTCTGAGACAACTCGGAGCCAACCCGGAACGAATCACTGCGGCGGAAGACGGATCACAATGCGGGCAGCGATACTTGCGCGACGAGCAACAGTTTCTTTTCAGTCGACTCAAAAGCAGATTATATCTATGAGACAACTCAGAGCTAACCCGGAACCAATCACAGCGGTGGGAGACGGATCACAATGCGGGCAGCGATACTTGCGCGACGAGCAACAGCGGACATAGATTCACGGAAATCCTGAGCGGTGAGAATCGGGACTGCACGCACGGACCTCGATCGACGGCCGCGTCGCGGAAACACCGTGATCGATGGTGCTAAAATCGCGGCGCCAGCTGGTCTTCAATCGCGGCCATAATGTGCACCAGCCATGGGGCAGTCAGTTGATTCTAGACCCGGATAATCACGCCAAACTGATGATGGGCTTAAACCCGAAGCGGCGAGGCAGCCGGAATTCGCGGGATCTCCAGGTTAGGGAGGAGGCCGCAATGCGAATCGCGACGGGACAGGAATTAGCCGCGGGAAAGCGGTACAAGGACGATCAATGGCGGCGAATACAAGCTGGCATGGAGCATAGATTACAATACAACACCCAATTCGATGTGGGAGTGTGCATGGATTTGGTGTCAGCGGAAGAATCGAGGGGCGAGGGAAAGGGAGGTTGTGAAACACAGAAACGGGAGAAACGGTTGTGGTTGGAAGGATGGATGGATGAAACGGGATGCGAAAGTAACGGGAGAATGGATGGAGTCGACAATTACACACACACATACAAATACACACACACAAACACTCACAAACACCCCCTCCACACACACACATAAACTCACAAACACCCCCTCCACACACACAATCACTCACTCACTCACAAACACTGGAGACCAGCGAGCGACCACCACCAATCCCAAACCCACTCCCAAATCCCAAGGTGCAGGTCCTGCGCAATCTCCATCCGCCTCGCCCCCTGTCCCTCCTGTCAACCACCTCACTCCCCTACCCCTTTTCTTGGAGCGAACCATGCCACGAAGCTCAACCAATCCCAAGGAGGTTGGCCCTTGAAAGGTTGGTTCCTGGACTGAGGCTGAGAGCCAAGGCATCGTTATTAGAAATCAGTGGAAGTGCTTGACAACACTGCACAAATTCTACGAATATCACTTATTAAAGTTCTCCCTTTGTCTATATTATTGTCAGATAAGTTGCTACCCTTTCACCACACACGGAATTTTGGGCCTGTGGCCAATGATATTCTTCAGTAGCTCGCCATAGATGCATTCAGTTTCGAGCTAAAATGGCATTGCCAAACATCATGGGCTCTCCATTATGTCATGATCGATGGATTAGCAGCAGCAATGTTACGATAATGAAATTGTTACATTCTTGTAAGCGAGACTCAAACCATAACCCTTGTCAAGTCCAAGCCTATCACGTGATATAGGAAGTGCAACGGTCGTTGACTGTTGACCAACAGTCGAACCGACAGAAGTCTAAGGGTCCGTTTGTCAACATATATATTGTACATGTTATAGGCTAGATAGGTGCAGTCTTATAGAGAGTACAATCCTTTAGACAAAACTACCCTGTATCACACATTCTAGTCAACTTTTCTACTCTGACGGTATCACGCGCTAGGTTAGGTCCTTCCCCGCACTATTCGCCCGTTCCTACCCCCCGTTGCTAGCCGCCCCTCGCTGCCCGTAGCCCCGCGCCCGCTGGCCCTGCGCTCGCCAGCCCCGTACCCGCTGGCCTCAGGCTCGCCAGCCCCGCGCCCGCCTGCCACTCGCCCCCTGGCACCGCATTCGCCAGCCCAGCACCCGTCGGCCCTTCGTTCGCCAGCCCCGCGCCCGCTGGACCTGTGCCTGCTGACCCCGCACCCGCTTGCCCTGCGCCCGCTGGCCCCGAATTCACCAGCCCTGCGCCTGGTGGCCTCGCGTCCGCCAGCCACTCGCCGCCGGCCCCGTGCTCTCTGGCCCCGAGCCCGCCGGCCCCTGCGCTTGCCAGCTCGCACCTGCCGGCCCAGCGCCCGCCAGCCCTGCGCCTGCTGGCGCCGCGCCCGCCCGTCCCGCGCTTGCTGGCCCCGTGCCTGCTTGCCCCGTTGCTCCGGCCCTGCGATCCCACCAGCCCCAGCTACGTTGGCCCCCACTCCACCGGCCGCAGCTCCGTCTGTCCCAGCTTGCCCTAGCCCTTCCTATCGCCTAGCCGAAGTGACTTGCCGGCATTGGCTTCCCCTCTGATCCGGCGCTCCCGCCGGCAGGCTCCACCGCTCTCCACCACACTCCAATGCACTCCACTGCACTCCACCGCACTCCACCAACCTCCACTGCACTCCACCACACTCTATCACACTCCACTGCACTCCACCGCATTCCACCGCTCATCACTGCTCTCCACCGCTCTCCTCCGCACTCACTCCTCCCCTTGCCAGCGGCAGTCAGCTGCTGCAGCTGTGGTGATGGTATCCCCTCGTTCTCCAAAAACCTAGTTGGTGTTGGCTGTCTTCAAGCGGTACGCAATCCATACCGAGGCCGCCACTGGTGCCCCTCTCACCACGTTCCCCTCGGACCCCGTGTCTGGCCTGTTCACCCTAGACACCACGTCCCCCTCGGTGGGAGCGTCCCCCCAGGTCAACGCGTCATCCCAGGTTACTGCGGCTTGCTCGTGCCGGTCGCTCACCAACCGCGTCATCCCAGGTCGCTGCTCTGGCACCACTGCCTAGGACACCCCCCACTCCCGCGTCTATGTCACATGTCCCATCACGGTCTTGTCTTAGGTCTCCCTGCGTCGCTCCCTGCCCTCCCTCCCTTGCCTGCGCCGCCGTGCACGCCATGTGTCGAGGGCTGGCTGTACCATGCTCCTCACTCCTCCTCGCTTCCCCCTACCACTGCCCCACTCCAGACCCTGCACCTGGACGTTAAGGGCCAGCCCCCATCTCTGGGCCGCGTCGAGAGCGCTACTTTCGAGTGCTTGTCGATAACTACATGCGCTTCACCACGGTGGTTCCCTTGGAGCGTAAGGCCGATGTGCCTGACGTTCTTATTCCGTGGATTATAGCTGCACGCATCCACCGTGGCGTCCCTGTGCTGCGTCTTCACTCTGACCATGACGACGATTTCGCCTCCGGTCGGCTCGGCCACTTCTGTCGTACGGAGAGCATCACCCAGTCGTACACCCTGCCAGACTTCCAGGAGCAGAATGGGGCCGCTGAATGACACATCGGTTTGGTCACGGAGGTGGCTCGTACCTCCATGATCCATGCTGGTGCACCCCATTTTCTGTGGCCGTTCGTTGATTGCTACGCCGCTCATCAGCTTAACCTGTGGCCGCACTCCCAGAGGCCGCAGGTTTCACCAACCCTCCTCTGGACCGGGTTCCCTGGCGATGCGTTTGCGTACTATGTCTGGGGTTGCCTTGCTCACGTTCGTGCCTCTGGCATGGATAAGCTCACTGCCCACACCGTCCCTTGTGTCTTCCTTGGTTTCCCTGTAGACGCGTCTGACTGGCACTTTTACCACCCGCCGTCTCACTGTTTTTTTCCCTCTCATGACGTCACTTTTGATGAGTCTCTCTCCTTCTACACCCGCGTTTCCCACCGAGGTCTCTCAGTTGCCCCGCCCCTGTTCCTGGTCCCCATTCCCCCGGTAGCCCCTGCTCCTCTTCCTCCCCGTCCTGCCCCGTCTGGTGTGTCCCACGTCACTCCCCTCCCGTCAGTTGTCCCGGTGGAGGAATCGACTGACTCTGGGGGACCTGCGTCTTTGGTTTTGCTGCTTGTCTCTGTCCCGGTGTTTCCACCTCCTCCACCGCTGCAGCAGCCGTCTCCGCCGTCGTAGCCACCGCAGCAACCGTCGTCGCCGCCGCCGAAGCAGCCGTCGTCGTCGTTGCCGCCGGCGGCGCAGGGGTCCGCGAGCTCTTGGGGTGTGGGCGTTGAGGAGGGTGCTAGACCTAGGGGTACTGTCGTGGCTTGTCCTGGCGGTCCTGAGGGTGGCACCAATGCTGGAGAGGGTTCTCGTTCTGGGGGTGCTGTCGTGGAGCGTCCCGGTGGTCGAAGTGGATCAGCTGGAGGTTCTGGTGTCGGTGTGGAGAAGCAGCCGCAGTCCCCGCCAGTATCCGCCCTTCGGCTCGTCGGTCTTCCCTACCCTGTCCGCCCGCCTCCACCTCCCCCGCCTGTCTACGGTCCTGTGTTTCCTCCGCCGGACTCGTCTCTGACTTGTTTTCCCCTGCGTTCTCCTCCTGTGTCTCCTCCTGTGTCTCCTGACGCGATGCCTCTGTCCCACTTCTAGTCTCGCCGTCCCTCTCGAACTCGTCCCGTACCTCCTTTCCAGCCCTCTCACCCTATATTGCTTCGTTCCCACGTGTCTCGTCCTCCCCTCCTCCCATCGTGTCCTCCATCCTTGCTGGTTGTCGCTCTGCCTCCCCTATCTGACTTCCTCCATGCCGCTAGTCCTCTTGTTCGACGGGTCCTCGCCTCTCTTGTTACCGACCCGTCCGTTCCTGTCGCCAATCTTGACGCTCTTGTCGTTGCCGTCACTGACTTTGCCTCTACCCGCCGCCTTGACCACGCCACTGCTCTGGTCTCTGACCCTGCCCGTCCTCCGTCTGTTGGGGGTGCTCGTACCCTTGGCAATGACGTCCTGGAGGACCCGCAGTACGAGCTCACTTTCCTGTCCGAGGCCGCGCCTCACCTCTGCTTCATGCTGCTAGTTCATGAGGGTGACCCAGACGCCCTTGACATTCCGACCCCTCGCACTTACGCTGAGGCGACCTTGGGACCCTGGGCCACTCAATGGATAGATGCCATGGATGCGGAGATGGCATCTTGGAGATCCACCGGCACCTACGTCGACGCAGTTCCCCCACCTGTGGTGAACGTAGTCGATGGTCGGTGGCTCTTCAAGGTGAAGCACCCTCCTGGAGAGCCGCTGGTGTTCAAGGCATGCTAAATTGCCAGAGGCTTCAGTCAGCGCAAGGGTGTTGACTTCTTTCAGACCTTCGCCCCGACCTCGAAGATGACTACTCTTTGGGCGCTGCTACGTGTAGGAACACATCGTAACTACGAGCTGCACTCCCTCGACTTCTCGACAGCGATTCTTCAGGGCATTCTGCACGAGCAGATCTACCTGCGTCACCTACCTGGCTTAATCGGCACCTTCGCCCCGGGGACCCAGTGGAACCTCCGGCGCCCGGTTTACGGCCTGCGACAGGCACCGCGCAAGTGGCACAAAACGCTTCATGGTACATTAGCCGACCTGCAGTTCTTCCCGACCTCTGCAGACCCTTCGCTCTTCATTCTTTCAGGCCAGACATAGTTCTACATCCTTGTCTACGTAGATGATTTGGTCTTAGCCACTGCAGACAGAGACGCACTGGCCTTCGTGAATGCCGAGCTGCTGAGGAGACACACCTGCACTGACCTAGGAGAGCCGCGCTGCTACCTTGGCCTGCAAATCTCCAGGGACAGAACAGCACTCACCATCACTCTCACACAGTCACACTTGGTGCGCCAGGTCCTTCGTAGGTTCGGTCTTCAGTTCTCCTCCGCACAGCCCACACCTCTGCCAATAGATCACAGGCTCTCAGCTCCAGACTCTGAGTCTGTAGAGCCTAGTGGTCCTTACGCAGAGCTGGCGGGTTGCCTCATGTACCTGATGACTTGTACTCTTCCAGATCTCACATACCCTCTTTGCATCCTGGCTTGCTTTGGAGGCACAGGCATGCACCATCCACAGCACTGGTC